GTTCGACCTTATTGCCAGTTTGACCTCATATACTAACATAGCGCTTGCATATCCTAACGCAGATTGACAAATTGACAAATTATGCTCAATTGTAGATTGTTGAACGTTGCTCCAGCTATCATATGTATGTAACAACAATCAAAACTGCCTGACAACTTGACGAGGACGAGTTTTACCAAACAAATTCAACAAACTAGCAAACGAATTTATGAGACAATTATTTTTGACTATTCCAGATCTGGTAGCTCTGGAAGACTTTGCAACGGGGGCTATGGAAAACTGGGGTTTAATTACATTCAGGTAAGACCATTTAGAAATATCATCCAATATCATCCTAGCACACCAGTTACTTCTTTTCATTTCCAGGAAAGACTTTCTATTGACACCCAAAGAGCGTGATAAAATTGCAGAGGAAATTATCGAGGACGTTGTAGCTCACGAGCTCACTCATCAGGTTTTCACCCTTAAATTTTCGTCGAGCTATATTACATGACAACCGCACCTCAATGCTGAGTATTCAACTTCTAGGCACTGATGGTTAAATTTTTAAAGCTTTGATATTATTGGGTAGTCGGTGAAAATAGTGCTGTTCTCTTCAAAGAAGAAGGTCGCAAAACTTAGAGTCTTGCCATCACGTTGTACAATTTTCGAAGGAGAACCCTCCTTCCTACAAGCAGATAGGCCTCGAGCCGTGCTGGGTTCCTAGAAGTCAGTCAAATAGATTGTTAATTGGACAAAAGTGCTACTCTGGCTCCACAAATATTTATAAAATCCAAAACTTCAAAATGTGCTGTAACCCTATTTGATAAAGCATTTTGGCATGTTAGATATGAGAATCATTTTCATACACACGATAGTGCCTTACTGTAAGACTACGATAGATGTGCGATGGAAGGGATGAAACCTGAAATTTGCCTAAAAGTGAAGAAGTGGAGTTTTTTGAGGGTCATCGCAACTAATACTCCTGCTTTTGCAGATTATTTTTGTAGAATTTTAGTGAGTAGAGAGACTTGCTGTAGGGGTTGCATGATTTTGTGACTATCGTGCAATGAAGTAGTCTAACGTGCAGAGTAGATATGATATTGATTGGCATATCAGATCACCCCGTTATACCACTTTTTAGACAGTGATTATGACTTCAACCCGTCCTTCGTACACCAACTGTAGTCGTAAGGGCGGCAGCGCGCGAACAAAATGAATTTTTTTATGAAATAAACTTGGCAAAACTAAAC